GAAGAAAATTATATAAGAACGGAGAATTTTTTTTCCTTGTCGTTTTTAACAAAATTTGGCCAAGTACCCTGTATATAGTGCATGGTGTTTGGCCCAATTTTAGAGCAACTTAATTATAATCAGAAGGAACTCAAACTTTTTACACAACATAAAAACATGTATATGCATCAGAGAATGCAATAAAAATTCTACCCTTGTCATGTTTAATAAAGTTTGACAGAATACCATTACAGGATATTTTGTCAAATACGTGAGCAACTTTTAAAACCCACTGGCAAGAAGCTAAGCACTTTGCCAAATCCTGTAGGAAGCCTTGAGTCATCAGGAATACTAATGGTAAAAACTTTTAAAAATTAAGCATTAGTTGCCCCATCCATCAGAGAAGTCTATAATGTAAATCTCAATTAAATTTCAGCTACTTCAAAATATTTCCTATTACTTTTCAACGTAACTGACCCCAATCTCTGTATTCTGTAATTAATAGGGCTTTTTGTTACTACCAGAGTTAGAGGCATTCAGGAATCAACGTAAATTTTAAGCTATGTGTACCTTATAAAATGACTGTGGTGCTGTTTTAATTTAGATGAAGAATATTGTGATTTTCTTCTTACGGTGCCTTTAAACACTAATGTTGATACTATTGGAATCACAGTTGAGAATTTGACTGCATCATGGTCTATGAGTCTTGATGATACAACGCTACAAGATATCTCATTTAATATTGATCAGGTTCTTAATGTTTACATGTGTTACACTTTCATTAAAATGCATATAATGAATAACCTCCAGTATTTGTAATAGAGGTTTTGTTAATTGCTGCTATTTTTATGTATGTAGTCTAAGCCATTGCTAGCTGTTGTAGGAGCAGTTGGATCTGGAAAAGTATGGCATTAATACATGCATTCATGGATTTTATTGTATTTCTTGCATAGTCCACATTGCTGCAGTGTTTATTGAAGGAGCTACCAGTTTTAAGTGGTACTTTATCAGTAAGAGGATCAGTGGCATATGCTAGTCAAGAGGCATGTGTATTTTCAACCAGTCTTAGAGAGAATATACTGTTTGGTTTACCATATGAAGAGGAATGGTATAGGACTGTTGTGCATGCTTGTGCTCTTGAAAAGGTAGCATTCATTTTTTTATTAATTTTATTATTAGTTTGTTGTAGGATATATCATTATTGGAGAATGGTGACATGACACTAGTGGGAGAGAGAGGAGTGACACTCAGTGGTGGTCAGAAGGCACGAGTCAAT